CGTTGCGGAATCCCAATACAAATCACAAAATGCGCAGTTTGGCCTCGTAATGAAACCCTGGCCTATTTTTTGTTTTAAAAAAATTTATTTTGGCATATAAAATCTAAAAAACTAAGAATTCTGACTGCAAGCAAAACACTCATTATATTTTAGTTTTATTTGAGTTGAAAATTTCATTTTGGACTGCGTTAAAGGCAAAAATTAGTAAAAAAAAAAACTTTTTTGCAAAAGGCAAAACAGTTTTTTGGGATATTTTTTGGTTGAGCATAGAACTAGTTTTGCGACTGAAAGAAGCTAAGAAATTTTTTGCCGCACTTTTTTCAATCGAAAGTGAATTATAAAACGTTTTTTTTGTAGACTTCAGGTATGAAATTGTACGAAAACTTTTTTGTTGTATGAAGTAACACCAGAGCATTCAAAGTTCCGGTAGGGCAATCTCTGTGAAATTGTAAAAATGTATAGTCGATTCCCTTATATGGCAATCATAATGTGTGAAGTCGGGCTCATACTTAAGCTTGTGCTTTAGATCTGCTCCAGAATGACTGTTTCTGGCTGCAGTTTTGGTAACCAAACCAAATTTTTCAGATGCAAAAAAAACGGATCTCAGTCGCTCTGCAAACTAAGAGCCTGAATTAGGGGGACGGACAATCTGTGGATAAAATGGACAGATTTTGATACACCCTCTGCGCTTCGTGCAATATGAAACGTGAAAATGTTGACGAGTATATTGGCGAAGGAAAAAATTCTGCTGCCAAAATTTTGATTTCCTAAACAATTTAGTACCATAAAAAGCCTGTAGAAAAAGATAAAATTAGTCAAAACAGTTCTGAATTTTTTTACCCAATATCTGAGACAGTTAACGTTATTATAATAAGGGTACAGATTCAAAAAAAAATCAACCAATAACACATTTTTTGATTTGTTCTTAGCACTGAAAATTTTCTAAACCACAAAAGATAACACAAAATAACACTGATCTGGGTCAAACAATAAACTGCTTAGAAGTTTTTTTGGACTAAAACGAAAAAAATGAACTTTTTTCTTCGAAAACTTTTTTTTTGAAATTTTTTGAATTTTTGATTCCAAAAAGACAATAAAAAACTTAAAAACACTAACTTTTCTCAAGAAAAAAAACGTTAAGATTTAAATTCAGCTATAAATGAAAACTTTTAAACGATTAAAATATGCTTTTGTAAGCCCGCTTGATGGGTTTATTTTTTCAATTTAAGACGGAAAACCAAAAATTTCAAGCCGGGTTCTTCGACACTCGGAAAAAAATTTTTTTTAAATTTTGTTTGAATCACGACTGTAAAGGCTTAACTATGATATTCCACTCAATTTTCTCCTGTAAAATTTTTGGTAGCTGAATTTATGTGGAAAAACAAAGAAAAAACCAGAATTTTAAATTTCTTACTATTTTTCAAATGGTTAGAACAACGTAGATAACGCAATTTTTCTTTATGGTACGCTAAGTAGCTTAAGGCTAAGGATTTTAGCCGGAAAAAAAGCAAAAGTATAACAATGTTAAAATTTACACGCTCATTTTGTTGCGTAATTTTTTTGCGTAATAATATTCTAAAATTACAAAGACTACACGAAACCTTAATTTTGATAAAAATTTCGGGAGGGACAACAGTCATTTAGTCAGATACATTTACGAATTTTTCGAGTTGAACCTAGAATGAGAGGAACTTAGGTTGATGCTTTATTTAACCACGAAATGAAACTCATACAATTGTTGTGATTCGTAGGCAAATTAGGCAGGTAATTGATTAATTAGTTTGAGGTAGTTATTGAGCCGAGTTGAACTGCTAATTAATTATTCTTGTTCAATTTGCACTCTGGATAAAAAAGCGTCCATCAAACATTTGAAAAAAGATAACGAAAAATGTCGTTTTTTATTTAATTTGTTTGTTTTGCTAATTAAAATCTTGCGTTTAAAAAAAAAGCTGGTTTTGCCGATGTATTTGTGCAAATTTTTGAAAAATTATTCAGCAAATTTTCGAATTGAATTGAAAAACTGATGCACAATTCCAAAAGAAACAATGTTTTTCTTTTAATTTTTTTTTAAACCGTCTTTCCATGCGCAATGTGAAGTTTAATTGGACTTAAATGATGAAAAAAATTACGTGGAAAAAAAGCAAGAGTGAAAAAAGTCTCACTTACCGGCATCAATCGAACACTGTTTTCTTTTTATAATTCAATTTATCATTACACACGCTAGTTGCACGTTAACCACATTGTAACAAATTACTTTTTACGCTTAATAACAAATTTTCTTGGTTGAATCTAGGGGTATGTGGATCAGAGGAGGGATGAAAAATCTTAACGATTTCACCAAGTTTAAACAAAAAATATTTTTTTTAGTTTTAGCTATTCAGCAAACCTTTTCTACCCATGTGTTGACAAAAAAAGCTAACCATACAATTTTCATTAGGGAAAAGTTGCGGTCTTAAATTTTTCATGCGTTATCAAAAGTATAGAAAATTGCTAAAATTTTCGAAAAGTGATTTTTCATATAAGGAAATTGTATGACTAGATCTTTTTCGTAAACCAAACAGTTGATAAAAAAGTATCAAACTATTAACTTTTGGCAAGCCATTTCAATATTTTTTCTAAAATTTCTGGACTACGTTATAAGCAAAATGAAAAAAAAAACTAATTTGCTCAAGGCAAAACATCTTTTCGGAAGTTTTTTGGTTGAGGATAGAAAAGGTTTTGCGACTGAAGGAACCTAAGACATTTTTTTGTCTAAAGTGAATAATAAAGCTTTTTTATAGACTTCAGGTAGGAAGTTGTAGGAAAAGCTTTTTTGTTGCATGAAGTAACACCAGAGCATTTAAAGTTCAGATAGGGTATTCGCTGTGAAAATTTTAAATTCTATAGTCGATTCCCTAAAATGGCAATCATTATGCGCTAATTCGGGCTCATACTCAAGCTTGTGGTTGAGATCTGCTGCAGACTGACTGTTTTTGGCTGCACTTTTCGCAATCAAACCAAACTTTTTAGAGCAAATGCAAAATGTGGATAAAATGGACAGCTTCTGATACACCCTCTATGCTTCCTGCAATATGAAACGTTAAAATGGTGACGAGCATATTGGCAAAGAAAAAGTGCCCTTCTGCCAAATTTTTGACTGCATAAAAAATTTAGTAAAAAAAATTGCCTGTAAAAATCGATAAAATGAGTCAAAACAGTTCAGAGTTTCTTTTTACAGAATATCTAAACCAGTTAACGTTATTATAATAAGTGTACAGATTCAATTAACCCAATCAGTAACACTGATTTGTTCCTAGCATTGAAAGTTTTCTCAACCTCAAAAAATAACACAAACAATCACTGACCTGGCTCAAACAAAAGACTGTTTAGAAGTTTTTAGATTAAAAAAAAACTCTTTTTCGACAAAATCATTTTTTTGAATTTTCGAGTTTTTGATTCCAAAAAAGGCACTAAAAATGCTTGAAACACTAACCTTTTTCGGGAAAAACCAAAATTTACGATTTGAATTCAACTGTTGTAAAGTTTTAGCAAAAAATTACTTTATACGCTTAATAACAAATCATCAAACCAACAGATTGCCACAAGGAAATTTTTCTAATTCGCAGGTTAAACTTACGTAGAGTTAAATATAAGGCGAGTTAATTCTTTCAAGTTGGCCAAAATGCCAACTTTCAAACCCTTCTTCACTTAACAAAAAAAGGCTGCTGGCGAAACGTTCTCTTTTTTTAAAATTTTGATGTCAAACAGAGTAGTGGCTTACACTTTTACTTGTAGTTGAAACTACGGGGATGTGGATCGGAGGAAGGATCAAAAACTTTATGATTTCACCATGATTAAACAAAATGTATTAGTTTGTATAGTTAATTTTAGCTATTTCAAACCCCACGTTAACCACCTTCTTCACATTACAAAAAGGCTGCTTTTTTACAAAAAGACTGTTTTTTTTCTTAATATTTGTTGTCAAACAGAGAAGTAGTTTGAAAGTTTACTCATGGAGGAGGGATCCAAAACTTTATGGTTTCACCATGTTTAAACAAAACGTATTAGTTTTTGTAGCTAATTCTAGCTATTTAGCAAATTTTTTGTACCCACGTCTTGGCCAAAAAGACTGATCATACAATTTTCATAGAATGAAATATGGTAGTCTTAAAATTTTCATGCAATATCAAAAGTATAGAAAATTGCCAAAGTTTATGATCTGTGATTTTTCATATATGGAATTTGTATGACTAGATCTTTTCCATGAATCAAACATATGATGAAAATTATCAAAATTTTAATTTTTGGCAAACAATTTATATGATTTTTTTTATTTTGAAAATTTAATAAGTAGTACTTGATCAAAGCAGACATAAACATGCCATTCAAAAGAGGTGAACGTCTTGAAAGTTTTTGAACAAACTTATCCAGCGATACGGAAAATAAATCCAATTTTTGTTCATCCAGGAATACGGTATGCACAAAAAATTTTATTCAAAAATTTTTTTGGAAATTGTTTGTTCGTTTAGAAATTTGGAAATTGTTTGCTGTTGAAAAAAAGCAATTTTGGGGCATTTTTAAAACTACTTTAAAATTTTTTAATTGTCGTCATAAAAATGCTGAACTTAAAAATTCCATATATGGAAGCTGTATGATTGACATTTTCTGTACACATAAGTTTTTATGACGATACTCCTACTTTTATGCCAAAACAAGAGAAAAGTTCTTTTGAAAATTTGATTTCACCATTTTAGCAAAATTATTATCTATGTGACTAAAAATTTTCCTAGTTTTGTTTATGGAATTCTGTGATTACTATTTTTGATCTATGGAGGTCAACCCAGGATGTTTTACTGGAATTTTCAATTTATTTCGGCATGAATTGTTGTGAAAAAAATACCAATTGAGAACAAAGGATGATCAAAATGATCCGCGAATTGATAGAAAATTATTTTTGCAGTGAAAGATCTATAACCTCTTTTGAGTAACTGTTTTTTGGGTTAATTTTACTTCCGTTTTAGATACACGATAGCTGACCGAAGGAAAAGGAGGACTTTTTCCGTAATTTGTGCCAGTCTGATATTTTAATCTAATTTATCAACCCGTTCAAATCTGCATCAGAAAAAGAATTGCAACTATAGACCAGTGCTGCTTTAACCCGCCATTCAAAATTTGAGCCCCGATTCAGTTGCATTTAAGCTTAGGCGGGGTTCCAATTACAGTTTAAGGGAGAGAAAGAGAGAGTGTGTATGGAGAAATAAACAGGCTCTTTACAGAACTAGTGGTTAACACTTTACCTTCTCGATCTATAACCAGAAGCGCCAACGTTTGTTCAGCCCAGAATGAATTATGTCAAGGACCAGGGGGTGCAGCGTAAAAACCAGAACAACTTAAAAAGCAGACAGCAAAATGTATCCTTAATGGAAAGTGTATCTAGGAAAAAATCGAACAATTCGAAAAAAAACTCGAAAAACAACGAATATCGACAAGTGTGTTTGTCAAAAAAAACAATGTTTAAAATTATAATTAACCTAAAGTCAAATTTAGAAAATTTGAAATTAAACTTTTTTTTATATTAGTGAAAAGTTTTGCACCTGTATTAATTTAAAATCAAAAATAGAATGTTAATTTTATCATGAAGACAAAAACGCATGATAATTTTAAATTTCTCAATTTCTGCTTTTTAATTCAAATTAAACTAACGTCTTTGTCAGCGTCAATTTCAAAAATATATGTTCACAAGTTGGTCTGTTTGTTGAAGGGCCCCCTTAGACAACATTTTCTACCTGGAAACTCCAATTACTTACAACAACCATAACATAGTTGAATTCTGCGACAAATCTGAATCTTGTTTTCTTTTCTCCCAGATCCAAATTTGTCCAAACACAACTCAAAAGAGCTCAATTGGCATTTCACTGAAGTTCTGTTTAAACATTGACACTCAACGATATATTACTTGAAACTATAACTCTCTTTCTTGACATGTTGGGTGAAAACGTTCTTTATTTCCACAAAATTACCTACGAAACTTTGGAACCAACAGAGAAAAATGTTGGTTCAGATCTTCGGATTTAACGCCCAGCTTCAAATTTATACGCCAGGCTTTTTATTCTCGAAAACTTCAGGAAAACTCAAAACTGTTTTCTCCTTAATCAAAGCTACTAGAGCTGAAAATACCTCGGGCTTCTTATTTTAACCCTTCTTTCGCTTTTCAGACAAATGTCTTCCCGGTATTGTGAAGTTAACATAACTAACTTCTAACTATCCGAAGAAACACCGATTTTGAACCACGAACGCGCGCTAGTCGAAGGAACTTAAATTCCCGTGAATAATCCAAGAGCCACCAAAATTCCAACATGTGAACAGTTTTCCTAGTTAGCTCAAACCTTTAATCTGGCTGATTCTTTTAAACAGACCGTTGCAGTTACTTGGCTTTAGAAGGTTTCACGCGCCCATGAAACTGTACAGCTCAAACCCCCACGTCAAAGGTATATAGATCTGTTTAAAACCCTGTGCTTAAAATAGAATCTACAAATCTCAACAAAATCCATTATCAATTCGAAAACCGCCACACTGCCTAGAAACATAACGCATGCTTTGCTAATGGTAGCGCCATAATTTTCCAAATATTGCTTATGATCGTCAAACACGTTTAAAGTGTTCAGCACTGCGGTTGGACCATTATGTTGTATTATGTATTTTAGGGAGTTTTTGCAGAAATTCCCCTTACCCGTGTTGAAAGTGTTCACAATCTTGAGTGCTTACAAACGTGTTTCGGTGCTGATCTGAGACTTACGGGACTAATTATTAACAACCCGAGTTTGAAGCGAGACGCCAATCCCTTATCGATCGAGTTTGCAACTTTTTCAAATATGATTTTGCTTCAAAACTACCTTTATATTTTAAATCGATGATCAATTCGTTTTAATTGTTCAACTCAAGTCTGAGTTGGTTTATTTTTAGTTTATTACCCTTCGCTAACTTTTATGTTTGGTCTTCATATGAGTTTCATTTTTTATTAAAAGAAACATCTTAACGATTTTACCCCTTTTCAGCTTATTTCATCTCAGTTTAAATTATAATTAAATTATTAACGAACACGAGACGGGCTTTATCGACTTCGGTTAGATTCACGACTCGAAATTTACGACAGTATCAAGGGGGGTAATTTTATTCTATGAATGAGTCAATATTTCCCGAACTCAGTCGGTGTTCCGCAGAGCACTGCCGGCGGCGGCATCCCCAACCCCCCATCTATACAACCCCCACCCCCTAGTGCCTCACAGCTCTACAGCAAGAGACCTAACTACAACTCCCCGCCTACGGGGGGCTTTTATGAGTTCGAAGATGGAGGTCATTACATCGGGTGCTGGGAGGACGGAAAAGCACATGGGTTCGGAATTTGCACGGGGCCCAAAGGACAGGGCGAATATGCGGGTTCATTTGACAAGGGGTTCGAAGTCAGTGGCGTATACAGGTGAGCACAATTATCTAAACCTATGTTCTTAACATATGTTCACAATTTTGCCGAAATGTGACTTGCCGAAAGATGACTGAGTTTATTTAATAGTTTTTGATTGTTTTGGAGCTTAGTCCTAGGTCGATAATTGGGAGGCTTTTTTTGTTGAGTGGTAGACTAATTGTTATTCATTTAGAGATCGAGAATTTAAAGAACAATTTGGATAAAATACAGTGCACTTTTATGTTGAAAAAATTTCAGTGGAAATTTTCGATTGTTTTGTCAATTTTTTATTTTTTTTTCAGCCGAAAGACGTTGAAGGTTCCAAGATGCCATAAGTTGATGTTTTTAGGAGGAATTCCACACAAAAAAACAACGAAAACTCTGATTCTGAGCGTTACAAAAAAATACAAATTGCCACCGTATCCATAAAAAATCTACATGCTTGAAATTTTTGCATTTTTGCAGCGCTCAAATATGTGCAGTGTGTCGCTAAGATGTCAAAGCAGTGCTCGTTTTAACTGACCTCAGAAAATGCACTCTATGTATTCGAAAAACAGCTCCCCTTGCCGCCAAAAAATGGCCAAAGCAACTTTTATAAAAAACAACCCTTGAAAATTTGAATAACAGACCAAAAAAACAGCGAGCGGATTTAATATTTCTCTAAATTTCTTAAATCTTAACCGGTTAATTGACGCAGTTGAATAAAGGAAAGTGTTTCCGGGAAATATTGATTGTATTTGATACATCTAAAAGAACCCTGGTCAGTTTTAAAAACAAATCTGAAAACAAACTTCCGGCAGTCGAGATCTTTTTTTTTAAGTTCAGAATTTCAAAGTCCAGTAAAGGTCAGTTGACGACAGAAAAATTCAGAATCCTTAAATAATGACAAGAATTGAAAATCGGTGCCACACAAAATCTGAAGAGAATCATTTTAGTCGAAAAATTTTCGCAAAAAAGGTCAAAAATTGTAATTACGGTCTAAATTTGAGCCAAATGGGTCTTTCTGATTTTATCATGAATGTCAAAATTCGCAGGGCACTATTCTCAAACAAATCGATTTTTGATAAATAAGGAATGTTTTCTGCAGAGAATGCTATGCTATATTCTGCAGCAAAAAAGATTAAATTGTGGCAGAAATGAGCTTTTTTTGCCAAATCAAGGTTTTTATGCGTTTCTTGTTATCGAATTTCTGTTCCATCTGGAAAATATATTTTTTAAATCAATTATTTGAGAAGTTTTTTGTCGCCATCTGGAGTTTTCAAGACTTATTCATGCATCAGAATTTTCTTCGCAAATAGTTTGTAGTAAGGTAATTCCACTTTGTTTAAACGTAAGAAAAATCTAAAAATTGTTCTTTGGTTTACTTATAACTCAGAACTGTTTCTTTATTTTTTTTCGCCAAGTTGTGCGGTATTTGTTTGAGAATCTGGAAGTCATTTTAACACCCTATCTGCATTATGACCTCGTAATGATTATGTTTTACAGGTGAAGTTTTGACAAGTGAAGAAGAAAAACAGTTTTTTTTTGTTACTCATCGTAAAAAGGATGACAAAAAGTCAAAAAACTGCTAAACAGGCCAATGCGCAGTGTGAATGCAGAATCATTTGGTCAAACTGACGTAAATTGCAAATATGGACAGTTTTGAGCGACTTTTTGGGCAACCCCACGGACTTACTCCGTGTCTGAAAACTTATGTCCCAGAACTTTATGTCCCGGAAAACACTGTCCATAATGCCAAAAGTTCCAAGAGGTTTGCCTCAGAAAAAAATTAACCTAAAATTGTCCAGAAGTCGTCCGATTAATTGCCCCGTTGATTTAAAATTTATTTTTCTTTGAGGGATTACCTTGCTAAGGCTATGCAACTGCTCGAAAAAAAACCCACATACTTCTCGGAATTGTATAATTGAGGAAAAAATATAACAGGACTCGATATTTACGCGCTCAATTTTTATTTGATTGACGCTTAAGCCAAATTTAAACATCAGTGATACAAGCGTCAATATGATTGCTCTCCAGTTCTTACAGACAAGGAAAATCATTATGACAAACAAAAACAATGAAATGTTAGTTCATGATGCATAAGAAAACTTTATCTGCAAATTTTGACAGTCAATCAATTACATGAGGATGAGTTTGATCTAATTGTAATAGCCAAGTGAGCTTTTTCCCAGACAAGGCTACTGTTTAATAGTCAATTTTCCGATCGAGCGCATAGTTAACGGAGATGATTCAGAACGTGTTTAAGACTAGAGAGGACATTCATATTTCTCCATTTGCACTCCGGGGCTGATGATGCGAAGTTAATAGATTCCAGGACTGGATTTTTTTGTAGTGCTTATGATGGGTTCTTTGTTAGCATTTTAGTAATGTTCCAGTTTTTTTTCCAATTAAAAACTATGAACTCATCATTTGAAGCAAGTTTAGTCCTTATTGTCTAATGCCCGAAGAATGAGCCGTGTATATTGTGTTTTTCATCTCTTTCGTTGTATATTTTCCCAAAAAATTGACCATTGGTTTTAAAAGAGCGATCAGAATTGCTTTTCAATCAAATTATTAACTGTGAACACAACCCAATTTAAAAACGTAAAGTAACATGCGAATGTCAAAACGCTTGTAAATTACGCTTTCTTGCCAGTTAAAGCAGTTTTCACTACTTTTTAAGATCTCTAGAAAGATAGCTCATCAAATATGTAGTTACTTTGAAGACAATCACAGTTATATAATATCGGAGGCAAGTAGAGCACGTGAAAAACCCAGACTTGACATCGACGCCCGAAACTGCTATCAACGTATTACTACCATGTCAGATAACTAAAGTGGTCAAAAATCGCAGTTGAGGATTGGAATAGCAAATTCATTACACTCGGGAACGACCATCATTTCCGAAGCTCAACAAAAAACTACATTATAAGAAAAATTAGGTAAACTTGGTTCAAAAAAACTGTAACTGTCAAAAAATTTACCCTTTAAAATTTTTTTCATAAAAAACCGTTAGGCCAACGGTAAAAAAAGTTTTCAACAAACCAAATTCTTAAAATGACGCAGCAGCAGTCTCAAACTAATTTTTTCTCCGAAAATGAAAATTTTTGAGGAAATTTCAGAGTTGAGTTGAGAACGTCGCGAAAACGCAAAATCATCGATGTAATAAAACAACTCCATTCCTTTTTATTTTTGATTCAATCATTTTAACCCACTTCGTCGTTGCCTTTGAGTTTTTTTTTTACAAATTTTAAAGTTTTCATTTTCAATTTTTAAACGCTTTTTACATTTAAATATTTTTTCTTGCGTGCGACAAGATTTTCAGACTTTTTGACTTTATAACGCTGAATAAAACGCGCGCTAAACTTCAATTAATTGTTTTTGAAATTTTCGTTTCAGTTGATGTCTAAAATATCAAACTTGATATCATATGATATCTACTTTCATTTGATATCTAAAAACAACATGATGAAATCAAAGAAACTATTTTGAACAATCGATGCAATTTTTGAGAGATAAATATCTAGTTCTTTTTAATGTTTTGGAACAATTTTTGTCAAAAACAACAAAGTCTGGGACAAAAGTTTATGCTTCTTTTTCAGAAAAGTTCATTTACTTTTCCTTTTTTATAACTTAAGGTGTGTGGGGTGTATTAATAAATGAAAACTTGAGAGAAGTTACGAGTTTATAGTTTTATTCCCAACTCTTCGTTTTTGGGATGGGTCGAGTATTACATTACTCTGAGGTTTCTTCATTGTGATTCGAACGACCTAAAAAATTGAATTTGTCGAGAACAAACCGTGATTTTTGGTCTAAATTCGAGCAAACAAAGCAAGCGAGCAGGAAAATTTAGGAATTCTAGCAATTCTAGATTACTATTGCCTATTTAAGTTTTTTTAGTCGAGCTAGTTTTTGGAGTTTTTCAACATTATTTTCATATCAAAATTTTCAATTAATTTGATTTTTTTATTTTTTTTTTCATTTTTTCAATGAGTTTTCTGTTTTTATGATCAAATTTCTGCAAAAAAAAACTGTTTTCCAGTTTGTCTGTTTTACTATGATTGTCAAATTTGCTTATGTTTTCATTTTTGTTCAGATCTTTTTCCACACATTGCAGAAATAAATTAGGTTGATTTGAAAAAAAAATATATTTTTTATTTGTTAAGACAACAATGTCGGAAAGTTTTGTGCTACTTGCACAGTAATCGGCTATCCCTGTTTTTTTTTGGAATTTAGTTCGCGCAGCGCGTAAGAAACAAGCTAACTAGGATCAAAAATCTTGTTCACTTAATTGATCATAATAATTAGTCATAAATCACGAATATAAAACAACTCTTCTAACATTTAAAAACAACTCAAAAGCAAGCTTAAAAGTTTTATTTTTGGGGGGAGGATCAGCTTGTCGTAAGATACATTTGAAATAATTTCTGGTCCGGATTAAAACACTGGCTAAGGCATGAAATTACAGTGAAACTGAGTTTTTAGTGCGCATTTAATGTCTTAATGCATCAGCAGGATGTCAAAAATTTTCGATACTCTAAAACAATTTCGTCAAAAAAGAAAAATCAAAAAAGGCAGATAAAAAACCATAATGAAAGAAACTTTTTTTTTCAATGAAATTTTCCTTCGGTCTTTTAAAAAATTTTCGAGCTTTGCGCTGAGCGGAGAACTTAAATAAGCTTAAAATTCGAAAATATATATTTTTCATGGTTGTACAGTTCTCAAGCAGGACTCAAATTAGAACAGACTGTTTTCAAGTCCATCAATTCATTTCAACCATATTGCAATCTGAAGCTCAGTATGAAGCTAACTTTGCAAAAAAGACTGACATTTAGATTCTGCAAAAGCAATGAAACTAATATAAACATTAAATTCTGCAGCCTATTCACCCAGCAACTGTGCAAACCCATTCAAAGCAACCAATGGTTTGATTGTTATTAGAAAATTGAGAATGCAAAATTCAGCATGAGAACTTCCCCTACAGTCGAAAATCAGTGACTGAAAGTAAAACAATTTCAGAAATATTTTGCTTAAAGGAAGGGTTGAGAATTGTTTAAGACAGACCAAATTTGTTTTCCGAGTGCCAAAAATGTCTGGACAAAATGTAACATTGCATGGCACTTTTGGTAAGATGTCTGCCTAAATACACTACTGAAATAAGTCACTTTTTTAAACTACAAGAACACTAATTGATATGCTCACATTTTTATAGGTACTTATACATCCCACAACCGACCTACCATTACCTGAAATCGAAACAACACAAAAATCTTTTAGTAAAAGTCTGGTAGTAAATCAATAAGAAAAAGGATTCGCGCTGATTTCATTTTAATCTTCGTTTTGCCCTCTCAGCTAAGACTATGCCCAAAAATCTATTCAAATATAGATGCTCTTGAGAAATATCTATGCGCTATTTTTTGAATAATTTACTATGCATAAATTTCTTTCTCATACCTTTCATCTTTTGTTAATTTTTTGTTATAAGTCTTCAATATAAAGTAGTTTTTTTGGTTATTAATCGAAACACTCATTGTGGAGGTGTTTTTTTTTACACGTGTTCAACAAAGGTCACTAATTTAGTTTTTTTTTCGAACTCTTACTACTCCCTTCAAAACTAGGCTCTAAGAATAATACAAGATAGGGATTTTTTCGCTTAAAAAACTGTTCTTACAAGAAAATTGAGAGAAAAGAACTTTTTGTAGAAAATTTTACAAAATTGTTGTTTTTCATTTATCGTTTTTTTTTTCTTCATTTTATGTCCCAAGTGCATTTTAATAATCACAATCTAATAATTTTTACAAGCATCATTTTGAACATTACAAAATTGATCTTTATTCGTTGCGGTATAAGAACGTATTGAAAAGTTTTCGGCAGTTTTTTGAACTTTTTAAGTTCTGTGTGGTTTTTAAGAAACCCCACAGAATTTTTTTTAAGGAAAATCGAAAGATCGAGAAATTTCCTGCAAAATTTTTTAAAAAAAACTCTTTGTCAACTAAGATGTTTAGGTATATCTGCTTTCACTTTTGAAAATTCAAGTTTTCTACCAGAGTCAATCTAGTTTTTCAACGACAAGCCTCTAAGAAATAACAATTAGGACGACTCCGCGTCTTTTTAAAAATTTCTTTATTGTGTTTCTAAAATCTTAGTTAATTGTCCCGACCACTGAAAACTGGGAAAAATTTTGTTTTCGTTCAAATTAGGCTTAATTTTTTTGGGTCGAGTGACATATCAAAGTAAAGCTAAGCTTTTAATTCAAGATTCGACGGCTTAGAAAACAAATAATTTCTCAACGTTGTGAAAAATTGGCTGGAATTTTGTATAGTCTAGTTTGAGAGAGTAAAGCGAGCCAATTGGCATCATAATAGGGAAAAAAATCTTTTCAAGCCGCAAAAATTTTTTACTGTGAAATTTTTACAAAAAAAATACTTGGCGCTGTCTAGTGAATGAACAACTATGAAATTTCGTGAAGAATGAATAATTTTGTTTTGTTTTTCATTTTTCTAAGACAACCAAAATGATTTGTGCCTTTCCTTCTTGTATCTTTTCATTGCATCAGGCAAAAAAAATTGAGTTCACTGATAGCTTATTCTTATGACTTCGGCCGGAGTTTCCTATGCTACTTGCACACAAACAGCTACTCTTGTTTCTTTTTATTTTGATCGCAAAATTAGATAAAAATAATTGTTTTCCAAAATGCTTCAATATTCAACAAAGCTTTAATATGAAACAAAAAACAGAGAATTTTAGATGCAGAGAAAACGACACTGCCATGATTGAAATTTTTGCTCTTTTTTGTTTTTAAAATTGATAGGTGTCCGTCTGAACTTCCTGATGGACTACTCGTGACGTCTTGAGAGTTCTTTCTCGTCAATTTTGTCAAAATCCGCGCTATCAGAGAGAAAGTTTTTTTGCTGTGAGCAAACGTCAAATATTTAGTTTTCCAGGGGCCGTAAACTTCCAGAGCAAGTTTTTCAGTTACTTTTTTGCTTTCATTGAGGACTTTAATGTTTCCAAACTATACGTTAAGTTTGTATTCTACCGTTTTGAATCAAAAACAATGAAAAAAAAACGGTTGATTTTTTTTCTATTCCAAGATCCAAACAATTGGATCAAATTCAAATCAATATCTCATTTCTAGAATTTTCATGTTTCTGGTGTACATTCGATCTTGTTATATCGACTTGTGAAGAAAGTACCATTTTTAAAATCAATTTTGGCTTGTTTGTAACACAATAATTGACAATTTTGTCTTAATTTACTGAAAAATATCAGTTTTTTTTTGTTTTGAACTGAAAAGTTAGACAAGGTGCTTCAATCTTCAAAAAATCATTGCAATTTGACACAAAAAATGTCAGAGAAATTTACATTCAGAGAAAACAACCCGAATTTGACCGAAATTGTTGCTCATTTTTTTTAAATGCTGATAGATGTCTGTCTGAACTTTTCTTGTTTCACTTGCGACGTTTTGATTTATGCTTGTCGTCATTTTTGTCAAAATCTGTGCTGACAGAAAGAAAAAGTTCCCTCTGTGCACAAACTACAACTATTTGAGTTTCCATGATTGATTTTAAGTTATAAATATCCCAGCAGAAAGAGAAATCTCTACTTAACCAGTTCTCGGTTTATGGTGTTAAGTTTGAAAAAAATGAAACTTCAAGGTCTGTTTCGTCAAACAAAATTTGATGTGAAACAATTTAAAGTCATTTGTTTGCTTTCATTGAGGACATCGCTGTTTTTAAACTTTTTTAAATTTTTTATTCACAAACAATGCAGAAAATCATCAATTTGGATGATTTAGAGTAAATAGACAAAAAGCAAATTAAAAACCCAAGTTATTTCCTCACAGACAAAAATGAGTTGAAATCAATTTTATTCAATTAAGGTAGCAAAGACCTAAAAAATCGGTTTGCATCGGTGGAAAATCGATTTAGTTTGATACGAAAATTAGCTTAAAAATCAATTACATTCAATTCTAAATCATTTTGAATCCATTTGTGTCGTCTTTTTTATTTCATTTTCATACCAATTTTGAGTAACAATAAATTCGATTTTAATTAATTTAAATTGATATAAGTTAATTTTGTCCAGTGTTTTGTATACTCATTTTATACCAATTTTCATACAGATTATATTCAGGTTTTCTCCGAAAGCAAAGAACAGTAAATAAAAAACAAAATTTTCAGGTATGCTCTTCATTTGAATTTTGTATGGATGTTTGGCCTGATAAGAAACTCTGAGTATAACTAGTCTGTAAAATTTCTGCTTACTCTAGCTCCGATGAGATTTTTCTTTAGTAGAAAAATTTGGTCAAGTTTCGAAACGAAAGGATTAGTTACATCAAATCTTTCGTTGGGATTTTGATGGATTTCACTGCATAGCAAGAATTTTGTAAATTAATTTAAATCGTTTTTTTTAGGGAAAAAATCGATTTTTTTTCTGTTAAAATTTATTTAATCCATTGTAAATATCTAACTGGAATTATATACAGATTATTAACTGTAGAAAAATCAATTCAAATCAGTTTCAATATCAAGTTTGTCAGTGAAGTTCTTAATATCTGAAACAAACATTTACGGAACTTGAGCTTAATTGAATATAGAACATCAATAAATAGTTTCGACAAATTTGCAAAAAAAATTGAAAAAATGAAATTATTTTTTCTCGGGTAGATTAAGTTTGTAATATGTGATTCAGATGGCCAACTGGCAGCAAGTACAGTGGCCAGTGGCAGAATGGACTGAGACATGGACTGGGGGTGGAGAGGAAGGGCAGTTGGGTCTACAGGGGGGAGTGGAACAAGGGACTCAAGGGCAGGTAAGACACAAACAGACACCTCCAAGGTTGATTATGAATCTAAAACTTTATGGTGATTAGATCTGATTTTATGGAAAATATCTGTACTGGAGTTGACATTTTTGAACAGGAATTTTCGTTTTTAAAACTTCCTTCAAAAATAACTATCAATGTAAAAAACAAAGTACGGCATAGACAAACACTCCCTTGAAAACTCAAACAGAAACTTTGGTTTCTAGAATATTTTTCAGAAACAATTCTTGTTATTTAAGATAAACGGTTCTTGGATTTGTTGAATAAACCCCTATCCTGAATTTTTACTTCCAAAGTGGTCTTCGCATTCAAAATACTTACATGAACCTCGCTAATTTTTTAGCAAAGTTTTCTGCAAAATATCCATTCGTCTTGCAAGTTTAATGCAAGACTTGTGTTGTAACATTATTAGAGATAAGAGCACACGGTCCATCCTCGGACAAAAGAAGTGACATCTTGAACATGAGTCCTAGAAATACGTGATTAAGTGATAAATGTGTCACACTCAATTGGCCGATTTTTATATCTTGTAAGGTTACATCTTTTCGTACTGCTATCTGTTCTAGATACGGACTAAGGGAGAGCAATTGCAGCTGTGCTAAGTATGAGGGCACCTGGGCCCAGAACCTACAGGACGGATATGGCATAGAAACCTACGCAGACTCAGGTATTGTTTGATTTTTTGCTCAAAGCACTTATATCTTTCAGACTCTCGAAGCACTCCAAGCACAATTATCCCGTCGCTTGTTTCGAAAATTGGAACAATAAGAATCAAACTCAAGCTAAGTGTATGATGTAATGCGTTTCAAACAACATTTCTTCATCTTGGTAAATAAAAAAACTTGAAAGTTGAAAGAGCTCAACTAGGATATTCGCAGGTTCTTTTTGTGCCATTTTGTATGACCGGGCAGTGAAATAAGTTGCTTACATTCCGATTATACTCCTTTGAAAAATGATTGAGAGGCAACAAAAATTAATACTTTTGAAGCTATTGAAAAGTGCTTTGAAAATGTGATCAGTTATCTTAAATGTCAGACAAAACCCTAAACCACCCCAATTACATGTTCCTCATTTCGAAATGTATCGAAGACATTGTTTAAAATAGCATTTTTCTGCTTATAGATAGTGAACTTTTGCTTAATTTATGGTAGACATTTGACATTTTGAGATCGAATTTCTGGACATTGTGATCAAATTACCATAGAACTTGTTCACTCGTGCCGTTCAAGTTGATTAACGTACCATTTTAACTTCAGCTTTGCTGCAAATTCAATGCAACTGGTATATCCCGCCACGTCGCTGTTGAGTTCAGATCGCAAACAGTAAAATTGCACCAGACCATAAATTTTGGTTTATTACCTCAAGATTAAGTCACTTTTTTCTGGGGAATAGATATTTATAACTTTTTTTAATTGGTCCCTGAAGTATCTTTGCGAAACAATTGTTGCATGTGGTTCAGTGTGATCTTATGTTTAAAGAAAATTTTGTCTCGTGTTCCGCATTACCCAAGTCTTCAAATTTTTTGGTTTCATTATTTTTGAAGAACAACAAAAGTTTTTCAAAAAAATTAAATAAGTTACATTTCAAAGGGAATTAAATTTATCCGCAAACAGGTTCGGCTCTATAAGTTCAGATCATTTAAAAAACGCGCTTTCAAAAACTACTCTGACTGACAGAAATAGAGGTGTTTAGTAAACTCTCGGGAATTTTGATAAGAATCTTTGATAGCAGAAATTCAATTGGGAATGAAAATCTGACATTTGTGCTAAGAAAATCAGTCACATTTCTTATTTTTAAAGTTTGGCCGAAATACTGATTGAGTGCTAATTTTTATCTATTTTTCAGGAAAATGTCAACGACCTGTTTCAGGTCATGTTTTAATGGAAAAAGTATACCTCCATGTTATAGTTTTTTTTTCACTTTTTTATGACCAAGAATGTTTCTTTTTATAAAAAAATGAGGAGTTTGTTTCAATTTTAGGTGATATATAGCGGGGGCACAACAGCGGTTCGCCGTGATGAGCTGTACAGCTCGTATGTTGGTCCTATCCCTCGTGGATAAATGATCTTAAAAAAAAAATATATATATATATATATAGAAACGTTAAAGTCTTAATAGTGGAATTAACGTTTATAGTCAATGAATTGCAAGGTTATTGCATAATCATCCGTTAAAAAATCACCCGCGTTCAAATCTTGTTTTTTTTCTAATTTGTTTTTCAACTATCAAACAACCATCTTAACTTTGCTTTTCTCTCAAATTGCTCTTTTTAGTGTAGTTACCTTAACACTACTGCATCAGTGATCTTTTACAAAGAAAAACATTTACTGATTTTCCTTTAACTTGTAAAATGTTATTTTTTAAAATAGCTGCGAGACTATCAGTTAATTGGTGCTAAATCAGTAAAACGATGTATCAAAAAACCGAAAGTGGGGAACTAGATCTTTATACTAAAGTTGAATAATTCTTGTGTCATTGAGTTGCAGAAACGCAGGAATTGAAGAATCAGATTTGTTTAACAAATAAAAGTTTTGATCAAAACCTATAATGAATAGTTTTTGAATAGGCAATTGAAGCATACATAGCGTAACTTGTTTTACTGATATGTTGAACAACTGATGCTTTGGTTCACTGAACGCATCACAGTTAATCAAACAAGAGTGACCTTTTATTTCCGTCTTTTTTTATCAGTCGAACGAAAGTTAAATTGACAAATTAAAGATTGCTTCAATTACTGATTGCTAGAATCTACAACTGTGAAAAAATCATGAACATTTTTTTTAAATAGTGTATTCATAGCAGTGGCGGATTTAGGATTTTTTTGAGGGGGGGCGGATTTTCAAAAAAGTTTTGAAAATCTTGTCGACATTTTTTTTTAGGTCGACCAAAATGATTTTCCGAGCTCTTCCAAAGCATTAAACAGACCCTGTTTTGATCAACTTTTTTTGCACCACAGACAAATTTTTGAAAACGCCAAAAAAGCATTTTTTGAAAAATTTTGACCAAAAAAACGCACTTTTTCGGCGCGCGCTCCCCTTAGAAATCTTTTAGTCTGTCGTCACCAAAAATGGTTATCTCAAAATAGTACTTGGAAACGCAATATGGTCGACTCGAAAAAATTTCACTTACTCGTTTTTTTTTAAAAAACACCCTCCACCACCTCAAAAAACATCCGCGCACGCTACGACCTAAAAGTAAAACTGTGCTCAATTCTATAACATAACATTGATTTTGTTTTCTACAAGGTCCATCCTGCCAAAGTATAATCCGTTTCTATTATTTCCCCATACGAAAAGTTGAGTTACTTTTTGAGCGAGGCTCTTTCTTGTGACTCCAGGCCGTTTTTTGTGTAGACATTTCACGTGGAACCACTTTTACAGCAGACATTGATCTCAAAAAGCCAGAGGTTAAGTGAAAGCTTGTCCTCATACACTATACCAACCATGGCAGGGAATCGAATACACAATCTGTTGATCTTAAATTGATTGTCTTAACACTATGGTATGCTCTATTACAAACCAGCATCCAGTTTCAAGCATTAATAATCAATTATATTACGATTTTAGTACCAGTCTTACTAAAATTGAGAAACAATCGATTTTATTCAATTAATAATCGATTAAAATCTCTTTTTTTTAAAAAATCAAACTGTAATTAAATATAATCAAATATAATTGATTATAAATGATTTTTTATTCGTCCACTTTTTGATACATTAAAATTGATTATAATCCATTAATTTTATTCAAATTTCTAATTCATTAGTTTTGCACAAAAATCCATTGTAATCGATTATAATTGATTATAATTCAGTTTGTTTGTCCATTTTGTCTTCGAATTTGCATCCAAATTGCTTATATTTTATGCTTTTTGTAGACGTTGGTTCCCTATTAAGAATGAGAAAAAGGTTTGCAAAGTTGTCCAATCATTTCAAGTTTTTTTTTTCATTTCTTCCCATTAAAGTTTTTTTGTGATGCATATTTTAAGCTTTTTAACCACCAAAACATTAGCAAATTGATTAACTTTCATGATTGATTCGGAAGATTTATTTTTCATCTAGTGCGGGAATGTTTCCAATAATATGAAATGATTTCTATGAAACTTTTGTTTCGTAGTAAAATTTTGTGTTCAGATGAACCAAAGTGTTCAAGAGATCCCTTTTTAGAGATTTTCTTATTGACACAAAAATAATAACCCATAAGATATAATTCGAATATAGTTTTGAATTGAGAAAATTTTGGCAAAATAAGAGATAATAATCGATCATACATGATTTTGAGGGGTTTTTGTAAGAACTATAATCAAATATAATTGATTATAAATGATTTTTTATTCGTCCACTTTTTGATACATTAAAATTGATTATAATCCATTAATTTTATTCAAATTTTTAATTCATTAGTTTTGCACAAAAATCCATTGTAATCGATTATAATTGATTATAATTCAGTTTGTTGTCCATTTTGTCTTCGAATTTGCATCCAAATTGCTTATATTTTATGCTTTTTGTAGACGTTGGTTCCCTATTAAGAATGAGAAAAATGTTTTCAAAGTTGTCCAATCATTTCAAGTTTTTTTTTTTTCATTTCTTCCCATTAAATTTTTTTTGTGATGCATATTTTAAGCTTTTTAACCACCAAAACATTAGCAAATTGATTAAGTTTCATGATTGATTCGGAAGATTTATTTTTCATCTAGTGCGGGAATGTTTCCAATAATATGAAATGATCTCTATGAAACTTTTGTTTCGTAGTAAAATTTTGTGTTCAGATGAACCAAAGTGTTCAAGAGATCCCTTTTTAGAGATTTTCTTTTTGACACAAAAATAATAACCCATAAGATATAATTCGAATATAGTTTTGAATTGAGAAAATTTTGGCAAAATAAGAATATATAATCGATTATAATTGATTCTGAGGGTTTTTTGTAAGAACTATAATCAATTATAATTGATTATAAGATATTGTAATCTCTTGGAAAATATCAGGATTATAATCAATTGTAAATCCTTTAAATACCTAATTTTGGTAATTATAATCAATTCTTATTGTCAAAAAATCATCATAATAATCCATTATAATCGATTATTTACGCCTAAACTTACATGCGGGGATGTTTATTTTCTGAATGGTAGATCAAGCAAAGTTTCAAAATTGTTCAATTCGTATTCCCGGGTTTTCCAACGCCCACAATTTTTGGATTAATTACAAGTCTTGATATAATTTCTCCAGCAAAAACGGATAAAACCTGCAATCTGTAATGAATTTTGTCGACAAGAGAAATATATTAGACCAAAGTTATTGCGAATAGGAATTGGTTACAAGTTTTCGGATCTAGAATGGTGCATTTGGGTCGCGAGGCTGGAAGCCTTGAATTTATCTCAAAAATGGATCTTTTCCGACTCGGCTTGATTATTTATATATAAATCATGCTAAAACATTCGCACACATTTATGACTTTTTTAAAGTAAAAATAAACAACTTTTTCTTTAGTTTAAAAAAGTATACGATGCGTGATGGCGTCGCAGGCAATTCATAAAAAAGCTATTAAATGATCCAGACCAGCAAAAAAGGAAGAAAAATTGTATTCGGGTGTTTTTTCACACCAACCAAAATTTTGCGGTGCTTGGATATTTTTGGTGGCGTAAAAATGAGCATGCATAGATCTGAAAACATAGAAAATCCAGCCTTAAAATTTTATTAGTTTTTGAGGGAGAATTTGATTTTGTTAATTGGCGCAGAATACTTTTCAGGAAAAAAGAATTTAATTATTTTGTTTATGCTTTCTTAGGCAAGTACACTGGACAGTGGGTGGCGGGAATGCGCAATGGGTTAGGAGTTCGGACGAGTGTACCGTACGGAATGGCTTCTATAGTCGGAGCCCCGCAACACCGTCGCGCCTCCCTAGCTTCCCTGACAGAGGACCAAATGAGCGCCGCCGAAACAGAGGGCGGCAACAAACTACCTTCGTCTGGATCCTCCACCGGCATCCCGGAGAACTTCGGAGTGCGAGGGGGTTTCGTGCTGAACGAGAATTACGTGCCGACTGACGACAACATATCAGCGATGAGTTCGACGTTTAAGAAGATCAGTCTCTCCCGAAGTACGCTTCTCGAGGGTCTTCGGATCCGAGTGCGACGGAAACGAGACGGAAGCACAAACTCATTGCGAAGTGACTCGACGACCATGAGCAGTGGCGGAGGCACTACAGTTGCGCCGGATACCTTGAGCATGGTGAACACTTATTTAGTGTGCTCATTTTAATCAATTTTTTGCTTGATCTCTCTGAATATGGTTTGATAGTTTGGACTTGAACAGGTGACGACTAATGGGACCCTGGATATGATGTACGAGGATGTGCCCCACGACTGCACTGAGATCTACATGGGGGAGTGGCAGAGAGACAAGAGGACTGGTTGTGGCATCAGCGAACGCACAGACGGACTCCGATACGAAGGTGTGTGTGCATGCGTGTGTGTGTGGTTGTGTGTGTGTGTGTGTTTGTTTGTGTTCTTTCAACTGTGTGGGTGTGTGATGAGAAAGAGTGTTTTTGGGTGTGTATGTGTGTTTCTGTATGTCTGTAAATGTAAGTTTGTGCACCATTTGATAAAAATTGTTTTCCTAAACTCAAACTTTAAATATATATATATATATATTAGAGTGCAGTCAGAATATTACAAACGTTGCGTTGCCCTGATATACGAGCATTCTTGTTGTGTTGCAACGTTTTTTTTGCCAATTTTTGACTTTTCGACAGCATTTTTACGGAAATTTATTAAACTGTGTGAAAGATATTTTTGTCATGAAGCCAAATTTAACCAGATTTTTAGTTGGGATTTTTTTAGCCAATTGGATCAATCAAGGGTCGATTTCTTGCCTTCTTATAACACGCGTAGGTGGCAAACTAATGCGCTTCGATTTGATTTAAAAATCAGTTTAGTCATATTGAAACAATATCAGACGGAGCAATCAGGGCTTAAACCTGATATACGATCAGTTTTCTTTCTATAAAAGTTTTCTGGATGTAAAGGGGTAGTTAATTTTCAATATCTTTTGACTTTTTCTAAGTTGACTTGGGAAAAAAGATTAAAATGAATGTCAGGAAAATTTTTGTTGGAAATTACTTTTCTGAATCAAAAGGTTTCTTGTGAAACTCTATTCAGCTTCTTATGATAGCAAAAATTTCACCTGACGCTGAGTTGATTGTTAAATCACTATTTGATAGCCAAAGTCTCTTTTTCTAGATCTTGCAAGTTTCCTGATTACTATACGTATGCATATTTTATCAAAACCTAATAACCGGCCAAAAACAAACGATTTTTAGATGCTTTTTCTGCGATGCGTTCATTTTTTTAAATATGAATCATGTTTATTTGGCGGTGGATGTCTCCTTTACAAGATTTGGAAAGCCAATAGCCAATGTTGCAAGAAAAGATGGAAAAATTCTCATAAAATTAGGGATAAAGGGAAACAGATTTCTCCGTATAACTGGTATCACGTACACATTTTTTGCAACATTGGTTTTCGACTTCCAAACCTCGTAAGAAAGCCATCCAATGAAAACATAAATTTACTCTTAGCTAAGAAATGAATGAAATGCAGAAAGGTTTAGTTTTTAATTGCAAATTGTGAAGAATGCAAAATTTGCATTTAATTTGTCACAGCAAAAAACAATAAACCTGTAAAACATTAGGAAAAATATAAATTTAAGTTATGAAGATGTCTAACTAGTACGCCTTGATTTTTCACCGACTCTTCCAGCAGTTGAAATTGTTTTATTTTTACCTCGTTTTTTGGAAATGTTTTTAACGTTTTTTGCAAACCTTGATTCACACTGCAAACAATCCATTAAAAAAGAGAAACAATCAAATAAACTTATAAATAATTAACAACAACCAGGCAGAAATTAAGCGGAAAAATTATATGATTTTCTAGTCTTAATTCACATTAAATTTTTGTTAAAGCCGTAATTTTACCGGAAACAAGGTCATTGTAATCAGAGACAAAGATTATTGAATAAATGACAAAAACGTCTGCACAGAAGGCAGGTCTTTGTTTTCCCAACAGAGATTGTGAGTTTTTTTGTTAGTTATCTAACAGAATAGTCTCAAAGTAATCGTTTAAAAGCACCTAAAACTACATTAATCAATTTTGTCTTCCAGAAACTTGGAAAGCTGCATAATTGAACATTTTTTTAAGACAAGATTTCAGTTTCGGTTCTTTGGTCATCCGAGCATCATGTTGTATCGGTTTCCGTCCAACTTTTGTAATTGAAATGAACCATTTTGTCTTTTCATTTCAAAATGGGACAGTTGTTATCTTACATGAAGTCTGCAAGATAGGCATACGATGCCAAAATTTTGTCACATTAAACGATTTTGGAAAATTCTGCGGGATAAAAATTATGTTCCAGATGCTGATGTCCGATTCATCATTGCTCTATTTTTATTTTTCCACTTACTCCTTAACAAGGGTTTGTAAAAAGATGGCTGTTAAATAGTTAATTGACTTGACTGAATTCTAGTTCGCATAAATAAGAGAGTGAACTTAGAGGTCAACAGTTAACAGCTAGACAGCTTTAGTTGATTGACAGGCAGGTACCAGTCTCACACTTGATAAAGTCTGGGAACTAATAATAGCAACTCGAATGATTGACACTAAGATGATGATTGACAACTGAACATATTGTAGCCCCTGACATTTCCGTATGGATGTAAAATTTAAATACATAGTAATTTAAATTTAAGTATACTCGCCACATCTTCAACCTGCCGCCTCAACTATCATATAACAAACAACTATCAGTTTTAACAATTTGAGTTTTAGGCTTAATGGCCATCCCTCTCCCTGGGTCAACGAGTTTTCGAATAATGTGAAATAAGTTCATTTCCGTTCTCCCCCTGGTTGTGTTCCTGGTTGTTCCGCCCCCTGGATGGTTTCGATCATCACTCCTCCCATTTTGTCTACTGGCTTTCTCCTTCTAGTACTCCTCCTGGTTCCCGAGCTTTCACTTTGGCTTCCTGATTCCCCTTCTTCCTCCTGACTGCTATTTACAAGACACTCCCGCGCCGCTAACGCTGGACGTTCCTGGCTTTCCTTCAATTGTTTACTTTGGCCCCCTTTTCCTCGCTTAGCTCTTGTCACTCTGGTTTTAGCTTTAGCTCCCGTTCCTCCTCTCACTACTGTCGTACTGCCGCTTGGGCCTTGTCCCGCTGCAATTGCCTCGCGCCTCGCTAGCGATTCTACCGGTAGTCGTACCGGAATGTTTATTGGCAGATTGTCTTCCGTATCCGAACTGTCGGACTCGAAGGTGTCTAATTGGACTGTCTTAGCTCGTTTTGATTTCGGGCTCACTACTGCCCCTCTTTTTGCGCTCGCTAGCATATCCTTGAGCGTGGCAGGCTTCCGTTTCTTGGGAAGGTCATGTTTCGGTTTTGATGCCACTGCACTTTTCCTAAGAACGGATCCGTTTTTAAGTTTGAAAGTATGTTCGGATTCAGAGATTACATTTGACTTTAGTAATTTATACCGATTTAGGGTCTTGCTGGTAGTACGCTGATATAGATTTCGTCCTTTCCCACTCTCCTGGGTGTTAAGTCCAGTGTCTCCACTCCCTTGGATGTGTGGGGCAACTTCCGATTCCCCCCTTGGACATGCGTCCATTTGTTGGTCACTATCCAGCGTGATAGGGGCCCTTCGCAAGGTTGGAGCGTATGTTAGATCCGACCTCTCATCCCAATTTGAATGCTGAGGGAATGCAACTTTGCTCAACTCAGGATCATTCTCGTCTAAACACAAACATTTTTGTTTTAGGACGTTGTTCCAATTCAAATTCTTCAAACTTGGTTTTTTCGTTAGATTCCGTAAAACAGTATTGGCCTCCCTGCCGTGGTGAGCTTCAAAAGGCGTTAATTTAGTAGTTGCATTTTTGGAGAATCGTAGAGCGCCTAGTGCTTTATCGACCATAGATTCTAGAGATTTATGTTCTTTTTCTGTCGCATATGTTAAGACAAAGTTTTTCAAACTTCCTATCGTCCGTTCAACGGACCCCGTGCCTCGATGGTCATTTACTGGGGAGTACATTAGCTCGATGCCTTCTTCGTTACAGAAGCTTTTAAACTTATTAGAGGTAAAACATGATCCCTGATCAACGTGGATCTTCCGAGGCACTCCATGATGCGATATGTACTTAACAAGGAACTTTAAGACCTTATCTGACGTATTAGTAGTAGTAACCATTGCTGACGGCCACCTTGAGAATCGGTCCGTCGCAACCAAAACGTATTTCTTAGTTTCATTCAAATAATTTATCGGCCCCCAAAAATCCAATTGTAGACATTCATTGGGTTCCCTTGGTTCTGGGACCTTCCCCATGTCTCCCTTGGGTAATAACGGTTTCAGGTTCTTACCCGCTTCCGTGCATTGCTGACAGTACGTGGCCTTCGCTGCCAAACTTCGGTACATATAAGGGTACCAGACGTCCCGCGCTGCTTCGAACATGTTTCTTTTACCATGATGGTAATAGTGTATCCGTGATTCGACTGGGACTTGTAAGGGTAAAGGAATGACCAATCGTCCGTCCAACCACACACAGTCGTCCCGTAACGACAGATCGTTAGCATATTGAGCCCAGTATTTCCCAATCTTCAGGAGTTCTTCTTTCAAGTTGGTCTTCTTCTCCAATGCTTCTTTCACTCGTAACAAGTTTACATCCGCTGGTATGTTCGAGGCAACAAATTCTAAATTAAAAAGTTCTGGTAACGATTGAGACTTTTTAATAACCTTGCAATCACGGGGAATGATGGACATAATTTGCTGATTCGGATTAACCGTAGGAAAAAGCTCGCCTGGAAATTTCGAAGGTATTGAAAGTACTGTATTAACTTTTGAAACCCGTGTGTTTTTAGTAATTGCAATAATTTCAGGGTTAATGACAGTTATTTCATCGCTACTCAATAAGTTTTCGTCTAGTCTAAGTGGAGAGTTGATCTGAGGTTGTAGTATATTCGGATTGTTAGTTTGAGAATCGATTGTAACATTTTCAACATTTTCAATTTCAAATACTGGGAAAGAACAATTAGAGTCGCTATCCATTTTGTTTGAGTGTTTTGATTTAGGCGAATTTAACCGTCTTCCAAGGGAACAATATATAGAGCACACTGAATGTCCCTTGGATTTCTTTGATTTACGCAATATGCAAATTGATCGTTTCCTATTGGTCGCTGTCTTCACGCATGACTTTTCGCCCTCAACCGTCGCTGGTTGTATGCATGTTAGTCGTTCTCGCTTGTGATTGGATAAAAATCGTTTAGACTGTTTAGAACCAGTTTCTTCAGTATTTTGGTAATTTCGTTTACCAAGGGGTTTTAATTCCTTTGAAAAACCAAGGGATTTTCTGATCGAGGCGATTTTTGCCACGGTGAACAAATTATCGTATTGACTTATCGGTTTAGGGGGTTCGCTAGGATGCCTTGACAAATAATCTGCCAATCCTATCTTGGCGCCCGGTTTGTGTTCTATTACAAAGTCAAAAGGAATCAGTCTGTCCAGCCAACGTGTTAGTCTTGAAAAAAGTGTTTTGTTTTTCTTGTTATTTCCGTTAAGTAATGAAATTAAAGCCTTATGATCGGTAATGACTGTAAATGATCTTCCTAGGATGTAATTTCTGAAATACTCGGCCCCCCATACCACCGCCAGCATTTCCAGCTCGTTGGTGGAATATTTTTTCTCGGCTGCGTTTAGGAATCGTGATGCAAAAGATATAGGGCGCCACCCTTCTGTACCCAATTGTTCTAACACCGCTCCAAGGCCGTTGTGACTTGCATCGCAAACAACTCTAATGTCCTTATGAATATCAAAGTGTTTTAATTCAACGATGTTCGCTACCCCCACTTTAATATTTTGGAAAGCATTTTCACATTCCGCGGTCCAGTTATACTCGTTTTTCTTGCTGAGAAGTGGCCTTAGTGGAGCTGACATCTCCGCTTTTGCCGGTAAATACTTATGCAAGCTATGGATTGAGCCCATAAATGACTTCAGTTGCGTTACTGTTTTAGGAGCTTTTAGTGCGTCTATCGGCGATGTTTTTCGTTTAAGAGGCGTGACCCCCGTTTCGGTTATACGATGGCCAAGCCACTCGCATTCGCGTTTAGCAAACTCGCATTTAGGTAACTTCAAGGATATATTTTCGTGGTTTAGTTTCCGGAGGATTTTTTCAACCAAGGAGATATGTTCTACTTCCGTTCCCTTGGTTGTAACCAAAATGTCATCAATGAACGCGTTCGCTTGTGGGAATTCGTTCAAGATTGAGTCCATTACTCGCTGGAACTCTGCCGGCATTGATGTTAGCCCGTAAAACCCTGTTCGGAAACGGTACGTTCCTGTCGACCGTCCGCCCACCAACGAAAAATTACAGTGTACGCTTGTCTCTTCACTAAGCGGTAGTTGCCCATACGCGTACGTTAGGTCCATCGTAGTAAAGTACACCTCCCCTTGTTTTTTCTCGGATATAAGTTGTCCTATTGTATCTACAAGTTCTTCTATATTTGGCATCTGATATTTGTTTTTATGCACTTGTTTATTAAGTTCTCGTGATTCCAACGCTAATTTTACGGACCCGTCTTTTTTCACGGTGATGACGATCGGAGAAACAAAATATCGATCCGAACACTCTTTCAATTTTTCTATATGTCCCTGAGTTAATAGCTTATCAATTTCTTTGTCCACTTTTTCTTGGAGCGTTACCGGCACTCTCCGTCCCTTCTGCTGCACTGGTACAAGATTTTTGAAAAATTCCGCTTGAACTTTGTAGTTCCTAATTTTTCCAACTCTAGTAAAAAGTTTTGGGAATAGCTTACTGAAGTATGACTGCCACTGATCCATCTGCTCCTCCTCTGGTTCATCGTGTCCTTCCTTGCAGGAAATGTCCTCCGCCCCCTGGATGTTCATGACCTCCCCCCTTGGATCTGCTTGCATCAACTGTAGTCCAAGTTTACCCATCAAGTCACGTCCCACGATAGATGGTCTGGTCCCCCCAATGACTCGGACTTCTGCTGTCGTCTTCCAGCCGTTTGATGCTAACTCGAGTTCCATTCTGCCCAACATCTTGATCCGATTGTTACTGTAATCTCGAAATTCGTCATCGTCAGTGTTATCCTGCTTCAAGTTGATTCCCGCTCTTCCCACTGTTCTTCTCAAATCTTCTAGTGTTAGAATGGATATCGGCGATCCACTATCGATCCAAATGTTCATCGGGTGCCCATTAATGAATACTTTGAGTTTGGGCCCGGCAACTTTCAACATCATTTCCTTCTTCCGTCGAATTGCCATAACCATGTAATCGTCCGAACTTTCTGACGACCAGCTGTGATGTTCTCGTTTGACGAAACCAACTGAACTTGCCGCAGCTTGGGGCTCCACGTCATCCGAGGGTGTATCTTCCTCGTCGAGAAACTCATCCCCTTGGATCAATCCAACCGGTTGTCCCCCCCCTGGATTGTCGTTTTCCTCGGCAAGTCCTCTCAAAGTGCCCAATCTTCTTGCAGAAGTTGCATGTGACGGCTCTCGCTGGGCATCGTTGTCCGTGTTCTGGGGTGAAATTCGGTTGATCGCAGTTGTAACATCTGCGCTCTTGCACTCGATCTTGTGTTCGACCTCCTCCACGATTTGGATACTGACCCCGTCCCCTTGGCATTCCTCGTCCCCTGGATCCGCGAATATTGCTGACTGGTTCCGTTTTAATCTGTAGAGAACCCCCTGGCGATGAATGCGCCATTCCCGTGGAACCGGATACGGCCCCCTTGTAGCTCCTTGCGTATTTGCCTCCTCTTTCGTATGACATTGCGATTCGCAGTGCTTCTTCCGGGGTTTTGGTTTCCCTACACAGCTCGTTCTGCGCGTCCCTGTTCCTCATGTTGAAAATAAAAATGTCTCTCACCATTTTCCGCTCCTGGGTGCCCAAGTTGCATCTTGCCGCCATTCCGCTAAGTTCTGCATAGAACGATTCTAGACTCTCACCCTCCTTTTGTTTCCTCGACAACATTTGGTACATTTCGTACGTCTCGTTCCGCTCTTTCTGAAAGAGAGCTACACAGGTATCCAAAAAACGTGGGTATCGTATTGTTTCCATATCTAAATGTGGATGCTGGTTATGCAATGCTCTCTGTCCCTCATGTCCCAGGGATAAGTACAGATTCGATATTAGTGTACGTTCACCTTCTGCCCGTGGTTTTCCACCAACGTCCCCCAGATCTGTAATCTGTGCTTCGGTTAATGTCGATGCAAAGTAGTATTCTGACGAGACTATTCCATGTTTCGCCACCATCGCCCAATGGAATCGTTGTTTCCAGTGTTCCCATAAAAGTTGTGGTTCCGCCTGATTTGGAGGCCAGAAAGCCACAATTCCAAGGGGGTTTTTCCCCCCACCGTCTGCTGGCTGCGCCATAACAAGGGTTTGTAAAAAGATGGCTGTTAAATAGTTAATTGACTTGACTGAATTCTAGTTCGCAAAAATAAGAGAGTGAACTTAGAGGTCAACAGTTAACAGCTAGACAGCTTTAGTTGATTGACAGGCAGGTACCAGTCTCACACTTGATAAAGTCTGGGAACTAATAATAGCAACTCGAATGATTGACACTAAGATGATGATTGACAACTGAACATATTGTAGCCCCTGATAATTTTGTCACATTAAACGATTTTGGAAAATTCTGCGGGATAAAAATTATGTTCCAGATGCTGATGTCCGATTCATCATTGCTCTATTTTTATTTTTCCACTTACTCCTTAAGTTCGGAAAAAAGTTTTGGTTGATTTATTTTTGAAAAAAATCATATATAAGCTAACTTTTCAGCTTCGGTAATGTAAAAAGTTTTGGTTTGTGGTTACAATTTATGCATTTTGCAAAACAACAATTTTCAAAAAACTATTTTTTTTTATTTTTTTTGGAATAATTTGACTAGTTTTGCATTTTTTTGTTTTTTATAAGAATTTTTATAAATAGAAACAATTAGCTTGAGATATTTTTTGTGTTGTGTTCATGTAATTAGCTTGTATGTTGCTTTATGTTCATTTTATTATCAAAGTTTGTTTTTGTTGGTTAGTTTTTTTGGTTACACCTCACCACCTTTCCAGCGCTAGTCTGTCTTTGCATGGTTGTTTTTCCCCCACAAAAAACATATCTTTAAAGAAACTGTTTTGAAAAGGTTACTTTTTAGGGAGGTTATCTTGCAAGATCTTTTTCAGCGATGCATCTTTTTTAACAGAATCTTGCAAGGCTCTTGCAAAATAGCCTCCCTTGATCGACTAGGGTGGTGCTATTCCTGTGATGCGTTTTCTATTTCATTGGGCAATTGCACTAATTTTTTTCACAAAGATTTATTCTTGTTTTGACATAACCCGGATGCTAAAATTACATGCTATTTGATATAAGTTTAATAACTCAACAAACATGGTAATGTCAAACTAATTATTATTTTTTTAGGTTACTGGCTGAACAACAAGCGACATGGTTTCGGCTGTTTCTTTCTCAAAGACGGCCGCAAAGTAGAAGGCAAGTGGAGATCAAACAAACTGGTCACGCCTGTGGATCGGAAGAAAGGAGGTCGGAACATTCTGCAGCACGGAACGGCCAAGCGGATTGAGAAAGTAGAGAGAGCTTTGATAGATGCAAAACATGCAGCTGAGCTGGCCAAAAAGAAGGCTGAAATAACTCTATCAAGGTCAACTATAATTCAAATCACCTTTGTAAACTTTGTTAATTCTTTTTTTTTCACCTATTTTTGAACGTATCATTTATGGTTTTTTGTATGATGACCAAACATTTTTGATGTTACCATAGAAATTAGTTACTAAAAGCGCTCGAAATGAAGTTTTTCTATGACCTGAGTTTTTACAAAAAAAAAGATTTTTGTTCAGACTTTGAAGAAAGTGACCGAATATACGTGCTTGGGTTGTTTTTTCTCCAGACGTATTTTGACTTCTTTTTTCACTGGCCGATGTTGACGGATTTTTTTTTATATCATCCGAAAAGTTTTGTTATCCTGGCCTCAAATTTAAAAAAATATTTCAATTTTGATTGTTTTTCGGAAAATTATGGGGTTCAAAAATGCCATTTTGCCCAAATACTTTTCGTGCTATTAACCCTTGGGCAGAGTTTTAATCCGTCTTTTATGAATCGCTCTAAACTCGTTTATATTTGTCATACTTGCTAAACTACCAGGAGCGAATTTATCACTTATAGTACTTTGTATACCGTGTGGGGTAATGCTTCCTAAAAAATCTCAAAATTAGTGAAAAAAAAAACGTCATTTTGTTTTCGCAGAATTTCCTTTTTTTTAATTGACTTTACTCTGATACGAGCAGTCTTGTTTATTTTTACGTCTCTATTGTAAGCAAATGGATACCTATTGAAGCATCCAGTTTTCTGGAATACAATTTTAAAAAGCTTTTTTTTTTGTAAATCTGCCTTAAAGATGGTGCGTTTACATTGAACATATAATCCCGGTAAAATTTCCGCAGGCAATTGTCAATCCAAAATCCACCATGAAATTGATCGGATAAACTACAAACTGACAGTTGATATGGCCAAACAAGTAATGATTCTACCCTATTTTTAGAGTTTTGCGCAACTAAGCCGACCATTTTTATATACCTTTTCTATGTGGCTTTACAAATAAATTCTTCCTGTGATACTTTCGAACGCTTCCATTGTTCAACTCTATCGGGGACAAGCTGTGACTGAATGCGTGATCTGATTGCACACCACGTGAAGTCCCTAAAAGATCACGTGACTGAGTTTAAAGCGAGACAGAATTTCAGTTGAAGTCTCAAACAGATTCAAGGTTCATTTTCAAAGTGATAACGGGTATGGTTTTATGCGTGATTAACTAGACATGCAGTTTAGTACAGCGAGCATACAATTTGGTAAAAATGAAAGTTGAGGCTATTTAAAATTCAAAAATCACATTAAAAACATTGTTTGAGAGTGTCCAATAAAAAGATATTGCAAAAAAAAAAGAATTAAGAGGGATTCGAACCGTGGACCTGGTATTCTGAAAAGGTGCTAATTGGTTATAGAGTGAACACGGCGCAGTTGAAGGCGGAGCAGGCAAACCAGTGCGCGGATTTAGCCCACCAGGACGCCGAATATGCCCGAGTGAGGGCTAAAGAGTTTGCCGAGCTCAGCCATCGAAAACCACCTCCTGATGAAAGTAAGTGTAAGAGCTTACAAGAAGGGAAAAACTAACAATTTACCCAATCTTCATTGTCAATCAATTCGTTCACAAGAAAATGAGAAAAAAAATGCAATTTACGTGCCTGCAACATAACCCCATGTTGGTAATTTCACTCGTGAATAAATATAGTCCTAATCGACATAGGCTTAGAAGAAAAAAAAATATGATAAAACTAACAGATATTTTTAAAGAAAATCTCGTTGTTTTATAGAATGTTGTAACTGCTGCAACTGTCAAAACAGAGGTAAATGTACAAATGGTTTGGGTCTGATAATGATCAGTATCTAGTGCAAAAATCACGAATCTTCATATTTTGATTTTCACCTTGTAAAACGTTTATTCACCTGTCTGGTTCTAATTTGATGTAAATTTTTTTAGAATTCAATTTTGAGCCACTGATTTTGCAATATATGCTTACGATCATCTGCCGGAAAAAAACTCTCTTATCTTTCAAAATGTTCTGTGAATTATTTGATTGCTTTCTTCTTCACTCCCTTTCTTTTAAATTTTTCCAGCAGACTTTCATATCGAATAATTGGCCTCATTTGCGTTTTAAGTATCTGGCCAGGGGTTCTCTCATTCTCTACAATCTTGCCCAAATGGGACTTAGTTCAACCGTGTGCCCGTCTGTTCACAATATGGCTGCTTGAGATTCGTTTTGTAAAAAGAATTCATGGAGAAATTGGTTACGTAGAAGTGAAATTTGTTCTTCAAAACTATTTTTATGATCATTTCTTTATTTTAAGCAAAACCGATGAAGGGTTGACTTGTTTTTTTTGAAGTTTTTCCCAAAGTTGATGATTTACATAACTAAAACAAACAAAAAACTAATAAACTAGAGTCAACAATTTTAAATTACAAATTTTACAAAAAAAAATAATTAAAAAATTACAATTGAAAATTTTTGCTCCGACGATTTAAAAAATATGGACGGACTTCGTACTCGGGAGTATTTTAGTTTTTTTGATTTCAACCCAAAATCTAAACTCACAATTAAACATCGGAATGAGTCGAGTTATATTTCATATTAGAACTTTTTCAGTCGTTATTCGAACGACATAGAAAGTTTTGAAAAAAAATGCTCAGGGTCGAAAGTTGAAATTTTTCAGTTTTGGTCTAATCTTGAGCTATTAAGTTTGTCAATTGCAAAAGCTTGTTTAAGCTTAAATTCAGCCGTGAAAATTTAGTTTTATTCAAATCAAGGGAGTTTTTTAAAGTTTTTAGCGCTAATTTTGAAATCAAAAATTTCAAAAAGTCAAATTTCAAAACTAAATTTCCTTCACGATAATTTTTCTAGTCCTTTTTCTGCCAAAACTGTGATCCAATTGGACTTCTCAATTATGATTGTTGAATATACCTAAATTTTTTTTTTTAGGTCAGATCCTACTATTTTTTTTAAGACTATGGTCGGATAGTCGGAACATTCTGTGCCTTTTGCACAGTTACCGGCTATCCTTGTTTGAATATGGATTTTTTAGAAAAAGGGAACGTGGGGAACTGGATGGGAAAGGGGTGTTGGTGAACTTACGGATGAACGTTTTCGCTCAGGTTAGAGTTTTGCAAAAAGTAAACAAAAAACTTTAAGGACTTAGTTTTCTGACGTTTTATTTTTTCGTTCAAATTTTTTGATTAATTTGGAATAACAAACGTTTGCGAAACAAATAATTTTGAAAATTTACCTGAAAAACAAAGATTTGTTTTTCTGTGAAACTCATGACAATTTTGCTCTTAAAAACACTTTTTCAGACATTTCTGCTGCTTTGAACAAAAGCGTAAAATTTCTTGAACAAATTGATCAAAAACAATTACCTACCGAGTCCAAAATTTTTTTGACGGCCACAATACCAATCAAAGCGGCTCGTATCAGTAACTGCTTTAAGTATTTGATTTAGCTCTATTGTCTACATATGTGGCTAACAAAATGACGAAATTTTTAGAAAAAAGAGGTTGAAAACAAGTTTGTTTTTTAAAAAAAGAATTCAACACAAAAGTTCACCTGTTTGGTCGACTTTGATTTTAAAAGTTTAGCTTGAAGATTTTAACATGTTTTTCTGTTTCATTTTTTTGACATGAACAATATGAAACAATTTTTTAGCAATTTATTCATCTTTTGCGCTTTGTGAAGCCCAATCCATCTATTTCCCATAACTTTCATTTTTTCCATTTGGTAATGTTCCAATAAAACCAAAACACGCTTCAAAAAAAATTTTTTGACTCTTTTTCTTTTGCCCGTACCTCACACGAGCATCAATTTTATGGTCTAGCGAGTGATTTTATAAATTTACTGTGATGATAATGAAAACCAAATATGTTTTTCATTGCGTAATTATTCTGCACGTCAAATTTAAGGACAATCAAACAATGGGAACAGTAATTTCAATTATAAAACTTTGCAGGTGGGGGGAAGAGAAAAGAGCCAATTGTTTTTTTTGCCAGTTCGCCATATTAAGATTTTTGAAACCTTCATAATTTTTATAAAAGTCAATCTAACGTGCAAAACTTTGAGCTGTGAACATCAAAAGTTTTTTTAGAAAAATTGTTGACAATAGTAGATAAACATGTAGATTTTTGTCCCTAGCGTATTTGGTACACTGAGCTTAAAGCTAATATTATTTTCCACTGCATTTTTTTTCTATCTCTCAGATTTAGGATGACTCAATCGCCTGTTGTTCTGTCTTTTTGAACGCTAACTGTGTCCCGCGACTCATTTAGTCTCAGAAAGGATTGTAAATAGTTTGAAAGCAAGCTAAGTCATTCAAATATTGCCTAGCCAGGCACAAAACTCATCTTTTTGTATACACAAGTGTGTGTGGGATATAGGTACATTTTTTAGTAATTTAGAATTTTTTTGAGAATTTTTTCCGAAAAATATATATTTTGCCATCTGAATCAAAAACGTCTAAGGCATTCCGAACAATTAAAGTATCCCTTTGATACGAACAGCCTAGTTTTCGATCCGAGTTGATTTGGCTCGTTTTCGGCTGAGTGATTTGGCACTAAAATTGGTGCCAATTGAATTATAAATAATACTACTAAAAGCAAAAGAACCATTCTAAAAATTACAACTTCAAAATCAATTGAAGTATTTACAATGATTCATAATTTTAACACCTATGATGTTCGATGTTTTTCCGAATTCAGGGTTAATAAGGCTTTGGTTTTTAATTTCTTTCTTGCTATATCGCCGCAACCAAGTTTCTCTTGAATAGTCCAGATTTTCCTAAATCGCCGGAGATACCGTTCAAGCAAACGAGAACTAATCGGTCATTAATGGTTCTAATTTCCGGTTACTTGACAAAAAATAGAACAGTAAGCAGCGAGGAGCCAATTAATGCTATCTCTGTCCATACATCTATCAGATATTCTGACATGTTCACAAATGGGTCATCTTTCATTTCAAATCTCAGTTTAGTCTCCATAAATTTAAGGAGATTCAATGCTCTCTATCTCAATGTCTCTGGGGACTACAATTTTAGAAACTGCCCTCAAATTTTCCAGGCCATTTGCACTGTTCCCATACCCCAATGTCCGCGAAAGAATTATGTTGCTACATGCCAAATAAGCGTCAAAAATAGAATTTTAATATGGGCGCATAAATACATTTGCACAATTGTAATTTTGCCGGGAGACACTAGGCTTTAAATAATGATTATATGTTACTTTTGATGGGGTTTTTAATTTCGCTTTGACAATGCTGAAACATATTTCTGATATATCATGTTTTTTTTATTCGGGAGAAAATTTGTCATTAAAATTGTAGTTTAAAAGTATGCGCTATCTGATAGTATTAATAAGAAAATTTTATTCCGACAGTTGGATTGTGTTTTCAGCCGTGCTTAACGGGCAAAAAAACATGAATCGATGCGAACTTTAGAAAAAAATTGTTTTTTAATTGACACCGCAAATTCAAGGCAACACACCCCCCCCCCACTCGCAACGCTTCATTGTCTCTTCTCATTTCAATTCAAGTACAATTTCTATTTGCATAGGTCGTTTTTCCTTTGATCTGAAAACCATGCGAAAAATAATTGTGTTGTAAAATAGCGAAAATTAAATTATAATCACCCTCGACTGTTGTTCAGTTTAAATAACCCCAGGGTGGTG